GGACCTCCACCTGACAGCCCAACGGCGCTCCCCAGAGATCTTGCAGAGTGGCGACCGCTATATCTGATAGGATGCGGAAGTACAGCTGCCATGGGAGAGACCTGGGTTGATAACTCGTGGAGTCGTGATGAAATTTGACTGCGCCTAGGGGCTGCTTGCATTCTACGGACTTGCCAGGGCTTCAGAACTCCGTGGAAGCGGAATTTTGTTCCCATACCAGCTTTTCTTTCGTGGCACGAATCCTGTCCCAACAGCTGGGATTTCCCGTAAAATTGGACGCCGTTGCCTCGTCGACCTTGGATTCAGAATCCGGATCAGATAGAGCCGTGACGCAAAGGATACACCTGGGGTTATTCGGGTGGCTTTAGCAGTCGCTTGAAACTCCAATAGCTCTTTTGACACTTCTTCAGCAGGTTAAAGCATCTGATGGAAATTACCTCGCGAGTGTATCGGCCGTGCTTAGATAAGAAGAACTTCGGGGCGGGGGGCTTTGATATCGAATGCATGCAAAGCATAACTCTCCTGCCTTCGAGCCTCTGGAAACGCATGATGCCGGCGATCTTGAACAGCAGATCTTTTAAGCGTGGCAAGGTGCGACTGAAAAGCGGATTGGCTGGTTCCATCATATCATAGGATTGGGATGGCTTACTATTTTGTCTCTATATAGCTGCACTCTTATCTTGTGGACGATCCCAAAAGCAACTCCTCGAGAAAGGGTCGCTGAAGGGCTCTGTGGGTCAATCTTGCCCTTACATTGGCCAGTGAGTAGCGCTGATGCAGCTGAAGCTCGAAATTAGGTATGATAGCGGTTTAAAAACTTGTTTGAACAAGGATTAATTTGAAACCTAAGCTCGTGGCTTCATGTAGTATAGTGGGTATTGAGTTATTCTGGCTGCTGACAGTAGAATCCAACTTCTCTCCAAGTGTCGAGATTACTCCAGGGATACTCTCTAGCCCCGTCGTTGTACGAGATGGAGGGCGGGGAAGGCCTTCGTGTCTGTATGGTAACTTCAGGCCGACCCTCGTGATACAGCCTCCCGAGAGTCTTCAAACTCAGGTACCTACGTCGGAACAGAATTGGGAAACTTATGGTAATGAGCTTGGGAGTGGTATACCATCAGGAAATGATGCATTCAAACTGGCATGCAGATCGACTTGAGTTCAACCTAGCATGCTGGCAACCTCACGAGCGAGTTGCTGCTGGCGCCAATCCACGAATTCCTGAGTTAGAATTCGGCCGTGTCCGCTTTGTTCGACCTTGAAGACTTCCACGGTTCTTGACCTCTCACGTCGGCTGATTCTCCAGATTCCGTCAGTCTTGATGGTATCCTTCAAGACTGCCCGGTATTAGTGTTTCGAAAAGAGGAGGCGCTGAGAATACCGCAGAGTAGAGAGGACTTACAATTCAGAAAGGAGGCAGTGAAATTGATACACAGATTTCCATCCCAGCTGCCTTTGCCGGCTCGTTTGACGGTTCCTGGAAGTTTCTGTGTCTCCAGTTCTTCGAGTCGTCGAAGGATGCCATCCTTTGTGCGAAAGCCTACAATGATCTTAGGAACGCCCAGGAGGAAGGATTGCGCCCAAAACTTGAGGAGCTTTCGCTCGAACTTAAGTAAGTCTGTGTCAGATTGAGGGTCTTCTGATGTTTTGAGTTCAACCCAGTTGATCGGACGGTCTTTGTCTGCTGGTTTGCAGTCCCAGACTAGGTATCGTTGTGTCAGAATAACGTTGACTGCGGCAGGAACATATGTAATACCTGCATCCACTTCGCCTCCTATCACCAAGCTTGCAGTCCCCATACCTGTCTTGACAACAGAACAATACTGGGAGTGATTATTCACAATCTCATTTTCTCTGTTCTCGATGTAGTCCCTGGACACTGCATCCCATATATCTGGGATCAAGCAAAGAGTCTCGAACTTGTAACCTTGAAATATGTCAGACGATAAATAGGCTAAACATACCGGAAGAGTTGTTACCCCAATAACTCATCATATCTTGTGAGGGCGCACCTGGCCGAGGTTTTTGACGTCGTTGTCGCTCCTGATCTGCAGCCTTTGCTTCATGACATTCTTCAATGAATCTAATATCAAATCAGCTACGATATGCTGCAATAGCACGGCAAGATTGCAAGCTATTGCAGCCATATCCGTGTACATACATGGTTCCCTTTGCGCGGGCAAATTGGTCAGCCTCAATGCTCATGTCTGCGTGGTGTATGACCAAAGCCCACTTGGAAATAAGTTGCGTTCATCTCAAACCTGACAGTCAATTAGGTTTGCGTCTAGAATGTGGATCAGAACTATCATACTTGCTGAAGTTGTCAAAAGGTGCTGTCATAATCTGTTCATGATCAGCCTCTGAGAATGAACTGTATCTTGCTGCGAATATTTCTACCTTTGTCATCATTCCACGCCAGGTGATGAAGTCTGCTCTACAGAGGTTCCCCTCCTGTTTCTCCATTTCCATTATACTCTTGAGAAGGCTGTCAAGATGGTCGTCGGTCGAGTCATCGAGCTTCTTAAAAGTATCGAATCCAGCCGAGAGATTGGCGCCCAAACGCGGTGGGTAATAATAGCGGAGGGAGGAGGCATCGAGGCGGAACTTGTGCTCGTCATCGTATGAAAAATAGGTAATCTCCTAAGCTATGTTAGCATGGTCCGTAAATATATAGCTTGGATTCATGTGCTGCACGATTGAGTTATGCAAGAAGCGCTCCTACCTTTGGTCTTCGAATGGCAGCGCTCTTGCCAGCAAACCGATCAAGAGGTTGGATATCAAAGGAAGCCATCACTCATAAAATATATAGAATCGGGACATCAAATCTGAAAATTTTGATGCAGTAGTGGAAAAAAAAGTTGGGTGAATTGTGAAGCTCCAAGCTGGACCAAGACCGGGAGATCGACGCGAGGATGCTGCCCTCCACATCCCCAAGACCATCTACAACTTCAGCTTCAACCACATGCACTCTTAACCTCCCAATTCGACCGCGCTTAAACGCCCGTCTTATTCCACAGCTAGAAATGACCTCCCGCCAACCACCTCCACGAACCACAACCGCCTCTGGAGTTCGCCGCAACCTCTTCAATCACAGTCTGAGTCGCAGGCCAACAACGAGCTCTACATCAGGAACCTCGGCGACAACGTTACAGGTGGCTTCTGAAGAAGCTAATACGGACATTGTGGCGCGGGATGAGCATGGGAATTATCAATTAGAGCAACCCACCATGACGCCGATGCCAAGGAACGAGCTGCAAGAGGAACGAGGTACATCTGTGCTGCATTGGGAAGAGGATGAGGCTAATCCTTGGGTGGTAGAGGTTGAAAACCGTTTGATAGAGACGTACAGGAAACATCAGCAGCATATTGAGCCGCATGGTAATTGCATTGCATGAAAAGGCTGGTTAATGTGGTACTGATATATTTACCAGAACTGAAGGCAACGCTTCAAGCAAGTCTTCAAGCAAAGGTTGCTTCGTTAGAGGAAGACATATGGATGTTCGAGGCGGAAGATCCGGTTTCGTCATAATAGGCACGTTCGTGTTGGCGTCTATTGTCTTGCGGATTTTGGTTTTGGACAATCATGATACCCATTGGATTTGAAGGAGTTCAGGCAGACCATATTCATTGCTTATCATTCAATGTTACTTAAGCTCCTTCTCGCATAATCTGATGTTTCAGTCAAGACCTGGCGCTGGTAGAGGAGCCTCCGCCTTTCGCGCCTTGGGTTTCTGCGATCCTCCCATTCCCCCCATCAGCATGCTTCCCATCATGTCAAACAGCGGATTTCCCTGCTTAGGTATCTTGATGCCAAAATACATCTCGCCAATTGAGTCCAACGCTTCGCTCCAAGTCCCAACGTCCTTCAAATGTACCCCGTAATGACTTTTGAGCTGCCTGAATAGATCCGGTGCACCCCTCTGCACAGCCAGTAATAGAAGTCCCAAGAAATTCAGCAATGGCAAGCTGGGATAAATCCGTAGATCTGAGCTCGCACTGGTGACTTCTTGCACACCAAGGTTCGGCTTCGACTGGCTCAATCTGCTTGTGAAGAGGAGAAAGGACTTATTTGCGGCGCGAACATTGCCAAGGAGGAGGTAGGGAAGGACTGCTCGAGCGGCATAAAGCGGCGCAGTATGCGATTCATCTTCGGTATACCAGTCGTATTCAAGGCGCGCAAGATGCTCGGGTGAATCTTTGGTGCCTAGTACGAGATGCCGCTCCGCGTCGTATGGTTCGCCATCTGTTTAAGTGTCAAAGAGTGGTCTGAACAATGCAAGAGGCCGCATCTCACCCTCCGCATAGAGCGTGCCCGCGACATGATGCAATTCCGGATCGCCCGCTGGGAATTCACCAAACTTCGCCGACCAACTACACAGATCAGCAACTATTCCGGCCCTTTTCTTTGCATCGCCTTACCCGACCATCTCCGACACAAATCTCTTTCGCGTTGGCTCTTCTGGGGGGAAACTCCGCAGCAAAGTGAGCAGCTTGCCCTTCGACGCAGCATCCGGCTTGAGTTCCGCCTTGTTGAACACGTCCACCAGGAAAAGGCACAAGTCGCCTCCACTCCCACCCTGTCCGGCTTTGAGTAGTAGCTGCGCGCCCGAGAAGAGTATGTCTATCGCTGCATCATTGTTCCCTTGCTTGACGTAGCGCGAGGCGATGACGCGCAGTTGCTGGTGTGCCTCATAGTATTGCCCTTCTTCGATCCTATCAAGCTTGTAAGCCTATTTTTATTCGTATATGAGTTAAGCTTCGATATTTACTTTTGCTGCTGTCTTTGAATCGTCTTTTCTATTTTCGACATTCTTGTTGTTGTGGTGTTTGAGATTTGAAAGTCTTCGCTGCCGGAAACTTTTCTGACGACGCTCTTTTTGGTAGCTCCGGACCCCGCCTTGCAAGATTCATCGTCTAACCAACCAAAAATTATGAATCCACTAGCCATATCACCATCATTATTAATCAGCGTGTCAAAAAAGATGGACAAAAAGAAACTTTGCACCGAGCGGGACTCGAACCCGCGCCTGAAGCAGATATCGAGTATGGGAAGCTTCAATTCTACCCCTAAACTATCGGTGCTGTGAATAATGGACGCTGGTCATAACGAATTTAAACCGAATGGGTTATAACTTTATTTATAAAGAATTATTACCACTTAGCGCGGAGCTTATCTTGGGACCCTTGTCACTCAGTCTTATGGTAGCGCTCAGCCCAGCGCATATCCAGACTCAACTCTCAAAATCATACAAGAAAGCGATACAATTCCACCCAGAAACCTTATTAGCAGCAGCAGTTGGTCGGAGTAAACTAGCCTCCTATTTTCAGTCTGCAGCCAAGCTCCAGATACTGCGGAGACCATGTCTACGGGCCAGTCCTGCTCAGGCATGATGCCGAATTGCCTTCGAAGTGTACAATACTGACGGTCTAGAAGCTCCGACTTGACATTGCTGCACGTATCTATTTGCTGCGATCCGTAGTGAGGCGCAGTATCATTATCGTTAAGCCCGCTGTCATATCGCTCAATTCATTGTTAACTCCCTTTTGTCAACACATTTTGACGTATTACCGGGAAAACAACCCCTTTTTTCGAAATCCAGGCATATTGGCCTCCAGCTTCGTTCTGTGGTTATGCATTATCACCATGCACAATTTTTAGCCAACGCCGTTAACTTTTCTTCCTTTGAGACCTTGTTATTGTGAATATCCTTAATGCACTTTCTCATTTTCTCGTTACCTTTTCTCTAGTTATCCAAATCTACCAACACAGATTCTTACATTAACAGTTTTGTCATAAGAATCTGTGATCCCCCGTCGCAATGCTATTTTCGGCGATAATAAGTCTCTGGGTCACGATGATTCTTTGGGGCTATTGACAAGTACTGCAAATAGTATCATACTACAAAATGATCGACATCTCAAGCAGACGTCTTAGTCGAGGACGTCCTCCGATTCCAGCCGCGATTCTTTCTGAAAGCAGACAACGAAATAAGTGAATTGTCAATTTTCATATGTTGCCATAGTACGGCATTTGGAAACCATTAGCGAAGAACCTGATTGATACTTCAACAAGCATTCAGATTATTGAGAATGGATTTACTATCTTGAGGCGATACAGCTGGTTCATAGCATCTGACTCCGCGGCTTGTTGCCCCATTGGCCCTCAGGTCCGACTTTGCAGGGCAAAAGTCCATACTGGACCCGTTTTAGGGCCTTCATAAGACGTCTGAGATTCCCAAGACTGAGCCGCGCTGGAAATGTCTCTGCACGGCCGGCTTTGGCTTTAGGAGTGAAAAATCTAGAAAATACCTGGGTTTTTCTCGACACCCTTGCCGTATCGCATGGCATCACACGACAAATCACATCTCTTACTCTTCAGCGTCATCAGCGGTGTTCGCTCCGTGGGCTTTGGCTAAGAGTTGAGTATCGAACAGTCGACAAAGGGTGAGCCCAGCATGCGCAGCCTCGAAGCAATTCAGTTCACAAGAGCTTCGGACGCCACAACGCCTCGCCAGCCTGACTCCTACCCAACAAGAAGATACCAAAGCCACAATGCTGCATCATATTGAAGTAGTTGTGTTAAACCTTTCCTTTAGCTACAATTATTCCTGTACACTCCAGGCATCGTATTCATTATGGTTCGATGCAGTCTTTTCTTTGCTATAGTCGCACGGTTTCATGGACCTCTCAAGTGGAAATCAAAAGATGTTGGGTAAGTGCTCCCAGTCAATTTTCACCTCTATTTAGAGTAACGGCAAGTTAAGGATGTTCACATGATGCACAATGTATCACCATTCATAAGTATGAACGCTATTCGGCTGTGGGTGGGCTAGACAATCAAATTAGACTGTTGTCCGAACCAGTCCTTCTTGGTTAAATCGGTCTTTTGAAATGTTCGTAACTTTCCTCAAAGGTATTTTCAAGGACTGTGGCCCCGAACAGAAGCCGATAGACTACTTTGCACCAGCACCAGCTACGCCTCTCCAAACGATTTCCCCCTTGGAACTACGACTGACAATATGAACGGGCTCTAGTAAAATAGTGTTGCTAGATGGAACACATTTCAATCGAACTATTTGGGGCCTGTTTTGTTCGCTCAACCTCAAGCTGACGGTCTGGTTCACAGGAACAAAACATTACCCTGCCAAATTGCAAGGGTCTTCACGTCTAGAGCGATAGCACTGTCGCTGGGATAAAAGTCGATAGTACTCAGAGAAACGATGCAGACTGAACGGCTAGTCCTGGCTCCACTTTCAGTATTATTTAAAAAGTCGCACGTTAGTGTCTCCGCAGCAATCTTCAATATCCGTTGAAAGCGGCCAAACTCAACGGGCAGGATGTCTTGTCCCGACTGTAACGACCACTACTGGAGTTGGTGGGCATATTATTAGCGGGCTTGGGGGGGGGGATGTAACCTCAACTCGGTCGGTAATGGTTGTCTCTTCAGCTAATTCCCCGACCTCGACTGAATTCATGCCGGCTTTGTTTACTGGAACTGCGCGCACTCGCTTTCAGATGGTGGGAATCATCATTTTTGTCTTTTTGGCCCTGGGCTTCTTCATTCAAGGAAGCTCTGCCCTCTGTGTTCTATGTCCCACACGAAGACCGCTCTTCACCAACGCACCAGCTAAGGGATGTGGATCACGAGGGCCCCAGAGCGGTTGCATGCGAAATGAAGATGAAGGCTTATTCTAATAATACCTCATCCTTTGAGAAAGAGTCTGTTTGGTATCTTCCCGAAAAGGCCAACGCCGCTCAAGAGAACGGGTAGGTTTTCTCTGACACCCTCATCTCCGAGACACTGTCGACAATCTGCCAGCACTTATTCTCCCGCGCAATCGTTAAGGCATTCACTCCCGAGATTATTGACAGCTGTATGGCCGCTGTATAGACCGCCAACGTTATCGTGGTGCTAGAGGTCGAATTTCTTTCAATATTCGGTGCGAGCATATTCTGCAACTACTTGTTTAGCTAGGCGTTCCCTATCGCGAACGAATTCTCGGGCGAGGCTTCTCAGGGTCTACAAGATCTTGTGAATCCCGAAACATCTTCCGTGGTACCTTCTTCAAGCTCTCAGTTTACAACTCCTCCATCGAGTCCATCGGCGATCAGCCTATAGGATCAATCACTAAGCCTACCATTTCCACAACTACACCGATGAGTCAAACAGTCCAGCTTACGACTCCATCCGTCACTTCCGTGAAGTCAACAAGCGTCTCCATAGCGAGAAGTACCATAAGCGCCTTTGCGACGACTGCTATTACATCATTGAGTATTTTCACGTCCCAGACTGAGTTATTGACAAGCATGCCTCCGCTACCATCAATAACTTCGATTCACACCACGATACTCTCAAAGCCAGCAATAACGCCATCACCATCTTCGTTAATTTTAACGACAGCTACGAAATAAACACCAAACACAACTCAGAGTACAGTATCCTCAACTACACCTCTATCTAGAACATCCGCAGGGCCACCATCAGTTTGGTCAACCTCGGTGTCACCCACTGCCTATGTTACGTACAAAGGGTACGACGGCTGGCATTTCGATGTAAGCGATCTAAATTTAATCTTCCAGAAAGGGCCCGGTGAGCTCTATCAAGCATCTCATTCGTGGCATTTGAAGAATTCAGCAGGGCAAATCACCATCAATACGGCCTGTATCTCCGTTGCAGTTCTTCCATGCTATAAATACCAGTCTATCCCGCAAAACACTGCTATCATGCTTGTGTACAATGAAGGGGATACCTGTTGTATGGACTTTTGGTCTTGTGACGGATGCTCAGGAACGCACACCCATTACAGCCAAATGTTTCCAGGATATCTGATGACGCCGTTCGATGTCAAGACCTGGAAAGATTTTAATTGTCAGGGTTTGTTTTGATGTCTCAAATGCGGCTTGATGTCAGTTTCCATTTGGATCGGTCATTAGACGTTGGGTGATGAGATATGAGGGACAAATTTGTTTGGCTCTTGCGTATGTGGGGCATAGTTTCTTCACACTTTATTCGGCGTTACTAAGTTCGTTAATTTATAATACGAAAAGTCTTTGGGGTGTCTTAATGGTCTCCATTTCCATTTCCATAAAAGTAGTTAGTACGGATTATGTTTGTATGTTCCCTATCTTCATTTGGCTAGGCACGTAAGTATTTTTACATCAATTGAATGGGCAGGCTAGAAGAGGTTTAGCGGAGGGCTTACGAACCATCACCGTGACGTCCTTGGAAGTCCGCACGTCATCCTCCTTTATATCTCCCAGGGTTTTACATCAAAGCATTTGTACAAATCAGTTGGTCTTTTGACAATTCCAAAGCCTTTAAGGAAAATTCTGGTTGGTTTTTGGTTCCATCACACGGTTATCTTCTCAACCAACACAAACAGAAAATCGCCGAGGACCACTTTATACCCTACATTATCAATAAATTTGCTTACTGGGACCAATAGAATTAATACTCTCTATACTCAACACCAACGATCAAGCCATAAGCCTAAAGGAACTATTTTGAGAGACCCAGAGTCGGGGACAGGCTTCGGGATGCCTCCAAGACATCAAAAACCGGAAACTTTTGATACGGAAGGGAGTCCTGAAACGTCTCATCCTCCTGTCTCCGAGGATCAGCACTCGTTAATGATACCCTCTGTATCAGACCCAAAAGCACTAAAATGCCTCCGCTCCGGTAATACTAATGCCTCACTGATCTTTACACACGGATCAGGCGGTACCATATTCGACTCAGCCATGGTCAACTTTACCGCAGGCTTCACAGCTGTATTGTCCATGCTCGCCTTCCAAGGCAACGTGAATCTCGCGTCCCGAGTCAAAGGGTTCCAGACTGTGATTGCACACGAGAAGCCGGATGGCTCGGCCTTTGACGGCGCTCTCGGAGGCCGGAGCATGGGTGCTCGCGCGGCAGTTATGGCAGCCAAAGAAGCCACTCTCGCCAAACCGATACGGTTCGTGCTGGTCAGCTATCCTTTGCAGGCCCCGAAAGGGGGCCTGCGGGATCAAATCCTGTTTGATCTACCTGCATATGCAGAGGTACTGTTTATCATTGGGTCGAAGGACAAGATGTGCAACCT